CACACACACCCACCCACACACACCCACCCACACACACACCCACACACACACCCACACACACACCCACACACACACACACACACACACACACACATGCCCACACACGCACACACAAAAACAAAAAGAAAAGGTCGCGCGCGCGCGCGAACACACACACACACACACACACAGAGGCGCACACACAGACACACACACACAGACAACCAGTTACACATCGTGTGTGTATCTGTATACGAACGTATACGTATGTATACGTGTTCATCAGCATATGTGTATATACATACCCATACACATTGACATATCTTTGCGCAGACATGGGTATTCATCATGTCGTCCTTCACACACGTACTCTTCGCCTAGCCTAACTAGATCATTAGATGTCCTCTTCATATCGCGAGGCTGCAGAGCTGCAGCACCGCTGTACGGATCCGAGCTATGTGCTTGTCTCTTAAGGCTGTCAGTTTAGGCCCAACTGTAATAACTTTCTTTTTGTCGAGGCGTTTCCGAACAAGAGGGAGGTATTCTGATGAGGGTGTTTAGAAGCTTGTTTGCACAGCCATATTTCAACCTCTCCTGACGCCGGATCCCACACTACCATAGAGCCTAAAACCTTCGGCCGCAGGACCTCGAATGCCTCGTAGATCTCATAATGTCTTCAGATCAGGGCTCGAGGCTTCTGACTAGCACTCATGTTCAATATAAAACCTGTAAAAACTCATAAGGTAGAAGCCCAAAAGTTGGAGACAAAGTAGCTTAAGACTAGTGCATAGGGAATCCCAGCACTAATCCTCCTTTATCAGGTTTCCAACTGTTTGGGGTTAACTATAAACCCTAAACCCTAACTCCTGAATCCCTCTTCCTTTCTCACCCGGGACTCGTAGCGATGCGCTCGTAGTTCTGGTGCCAAGGTGCTGTGAAGTTGAATCTGGCCTTTAGGCTCACCCCTTTAGTCTTTGTCCTGCTCGTCTCCTGGCACTTGGCTGAGTAGTCTACTCCAGCGAGTGGATGTCGGCAGCGGGCTGTGGTAGGTAATGCCGTTACTGTCACCTGTTTTACTGGTCCTCACTGAAGTCAGCCTTCGCCCTCTGCAGAGCAGAGAACAAACCAACAGATCTGGCAGCACTGGTTGTCATATTGGCCCCTTCAGCGCTCGTAGAGTACCGGGCCCTTGGCCCGTGCTTGGCTGTCTGTCATGTTTTGCCGTGTCACGCCGACGCAAACCAGTAAAAAATTCGCCTGGCTAGTCCGAGTTGTGAGAGCATAAACCCCCAACTCTGAAAGCCTATGTCCCAGCTAGGTGGGAGGCAAAAAAACCATAAAAGCCGTAAGAGCCCTAAGCCCCTACTCTCAGCGGGATCAGCTCCAGTCTGGCGTGTCTAGGTGCCAGGTTGGAGATGGAGAAGGAGGAGCGCGAGGCCTCGTGGGAGTCAAAAAAGACGCCCGAATGGTGTTCGATACTGCTCCGTTTTCTAGGGTTTCTTGTTAGATACGCCCTAACGCCTTGTTCTTAGTATGGAGGCCCGTATATTTGTGTCTCAAAGGAATTCAGGCAGTTCAGATGTCTGATTTGAGTGGTTCTGACCTTCTTCGTGGTTTCGGGTGTGGGTTCGCTCTCTGCCAACATAGACACAGAGCACTACAACGACGAGCTGAGACCTACACCCCAAGCCCTGAACCCTGAGCGTTTGTGCTACCATGTGGGTGTGCGAAGCTCTCGGAGCTAGAAGTTTGAAGATGCAGTGAGACGGTGCTCAGACCGGAATTTAGGGTGTAGTGTAGGGCTAAGGCGTAGGGCCCAAAGACCTAATACTCCCCAAACCACATGACATCAGGGCTTTAAGAGGGTTGTGAACAGCTTGTAGGGGCGCGTTCTGCATGGCGTGTGTAAGGTTTCTATGCCATAGAATAGAAGAAAAAATTTCGGGCAACTTGAATGGAGCCCTACAACACCCTAAACCCTAAGCCCTAAACCCTAAACCCTTGGCCAATGCTATCGTCGATGTACTTGGAACCTCGCCAGGCTTGTCCCAGTTGTGAGTGCTGAAACCCTAAACCCTAAACCCGCCCCCAACGTCCACCCTAAAACCCAAAGTTAGCAGGCCGAGCATCTGAAGCTTCGCGGAAGCCTGGGCTTCTGGGAGGCCCCCGAAGCAGGAGAGGTTCCTTTCAGGTTTGAGGGCTTTAGGGCTATCTACCCGTATATCCGTCTTTCATGTGCAAAAAGAATATGTATCTGTTCAGGGTTATGTATGCATGTACATATTTCTCTACTCGCGGTGCTCACAAGCTGAATTCTTTCAGAGACGGGCCAAGAGCCGTGGCTTCTTTGAAGAGGTTGAGGGTTTCAGGGTTTCTTACCTGACACCCCACTGAGCCTCAAAAAAAAGCTGCGACGGTGCAAGGATTGGAATTCGAGTTTGGGAGGGAAGTTCTTGGCAGCTGGCTTCTGATATTGAGCCAACCACGAATCCAGGAAGCCCTATGTAGCCCTACCCTCATGCTGTAAAGCTTTGAACAGGTGGAACTATCGACCTGAGTTTGATGGGGCTATCGAGCCTGTTGTTTGTAGGCTTTGACCTTTAACCTCCACATCTCGCATCTGCAGCAGCAAAGCGCGTACGACCGAAGCCCCACCAGTACATTCTGAGTCGTAGAGAAGCTGTTGAGCCAGTTTCGAACAGGCCTCCATCGAATCTCTGGCAGAGATCACCAAGGAGTTCGCATCTCAGAGAACACCATCTGGACTTTGTGTTTAACCCGTGGCACCGCGGCATGCTAGTTTCGGGCGGGACGCTGTTCTGCAGATCGTCGCAGTCACAACCTACCACTACAGCCCGTTCACGGTATTACATATATATACATACATATATATATATATACATATATATATATATACATATATATATATATATACATACATATATATATATATATATATGTATGTATATTGCTTTCTTACTTGAACCTAGACCCTGAGCCGCCCGTCAGCCTGGCAGCTAAGGCGGCCAACATATGTTGGCGTCGAGTCCTTATACTGAATAAGTACTAATCTGACTTTAACATATTCAGGCTTCCCTGTTGTTATTCTAGTATCCAGAATAATGCCTATACCAATATGGTTTGGAAAGGGACACCCAAAAGGCCTGACGAGATCCGACACAAAGACCCTATAAGACCCTTATGCAATTGATCAGAAACGAAGGAGTGCTATCTGTGGAAGCGCTGAAGGTCCGCAGTCGTCGCATGGGAGGAAGACTTCCGCGAGGTGCGGTGGACTCCAGCTGAGCTCCAGTTTCGAAGGGTTCAGGGTTTTTGGAAGAAGGGAGCACGCGAGAGAGAGAGAGAGAGGAACAGAATGCGGTGCATGTAACATGGCCAGTTTGTGAACATGGCATGGCTAGCGTAGTCAGTATGGTTACGCGCATGTACCTGTACATACATGCACCCATCCTTACATGCATACATTCATGCAGGAGAGCAGGATCCTAAGATCATGAAAACGACGAGTCATCCCGGCCGACACCGGCATGCAGAGAAGGCAATAGGCAAGTTGCCCTAGGCCCGCAGACTGGCATAGAGTGCAGTGCATGGTCACGAGCGCTGGGCTCACACCTCTAAACCCTAGACCCTATACAAATCCTAAAAACGAGGCTCAAGCGGTGGAGAGAGATTTCCTTGTATGGCGACATGGTGGGATTAAGCCCCGGATCGTCAGCGAGGGCGTGGCTATGGCTGCTGGCACTTGGCCAGCTGCAGCCGGGCAACTGCCAGATCCTTGTTATTGTTAATGGGTTAACGGTTCTTGTTGAGGAATTGCATCACAGTTTTTGTAATTCGTAGTGGGGTTTCAGTACTGTTTTGCGATTTGTTTCGAAGTGGGGGTTCTTGCTCTGAAGTTGATCGTGAGCTACCATAGGAAGGGAAGCAGATTGCTTGCGTCATATCCGAATTTTGTCGGGAGTTCGGCTAAGTCCCTTAAGAAGAGCCCAGGATCAGGGTAATCACGCCGCCGGAGCTCCTTGCGAAGCTTCATAAGACCCATGGTAGGATCTCGGGATCCACAGCCACCTTCGGAGCCCCCTTCTATGGTGACACTGTGAAGGGTCGGCTGGTTTATGGTATCTCGAAGAACAAGGATCACCACTGCACCCCGCAGGACTACGATGTCCCGAAACCGGAGACTTTCGAGACGGAAGGTAGCAGCTACCGCAAGGTGAAGCTCCTAAACATCATTATCGTGCGTCGGGGGAAATGCTCGTTCACCACGAAGGTTAAGGTGGCTCAAGACAAGGGCGCCCACGCAGTGATCATTGTGGATCGCGAGGACTCTTCCTATACAGCCGAGGGCCTTGCGAACGTAATCGTTGCTGACGATGGCTATGGCAGCGGCGTACACATTCCCTCTATCCTGATCTCGAAGGATGACGGGCAGCAGCTCATCAATACGGTCCAGTCTACGGAGGTAGTTATCGAGTTAGCATGGAATGTGCCAACCGATCACGTCGTCACAATGGACATGTGGATGAGCTCGGGCTCCAGTGAGTCCATGCAATTCATCAAGGACTTCGCCCCTAAACGAAAGGAACTCAATCAGGTGATGATCTTCAACCCACACTATGCCGTCTTCTCAATGGAGAAGACGAACCCAGCGGTCTACTCGGGGGTCTGTCTCGACGAAGGCAAGTATTGCGCGAATGATCCCGATGGTGCCGGGGACGTGACAGGCAAAGATGTCCTTCTTGAGGATGTGCGGCAGCTCTGCATCCATGAAACTACCAAGGTCACCAGGGCGAGCATGGAGGTTATGCAGGGGCTCAAGATTGTGGAGTATGCAGAGAAGTATTGGAACTACATGGAGAAATATCCGATCAGGTGCCCAGTAGATGGTTCAGGATCCAGCAAGTTCGGAGAAGAGTGTTCCATCCAAGTCATGAAAGAGGTGAACATCGACTCTGACGAGATCATCCAGTGTGCGATGACAACGAGGCAGGCCCTGTTTTTCAGTTCATCTGCTCCCTGACAAGATCTTCAGCCAGTCCCTTATAAGGCCTTAAACCCTAAACCCCTAAACCCTAAACCCCTAAACCCTAAACCCCTAAAGCCCAAAAACCCTAATCCCCAAGGTGGGAGAAGCTGAAGCAGCAGCTTGAGAATACGGCTTGGTCGGACCAGGCCATCAGGGTGAACGGCTGGCGTTTCAGCGGCGTCGTCACCGCAGATCTCGTTGTCCGCGCGGTCTGCTCGGGGTTCATCCACGAGCCGACCGAGTGCGCGAACCTGATCGAGTTTCGGGATGTTTTCAAGCCCTACCAGGTGGGAGTTGCAGAAACTCAGTAGAACCCCTCCCGAAGTTGTGGGAGGGGCCCCCCAAGTTTCAAGAAACCCAACACAAATCCCTAGACGAACCCTCCCGGCTTTTTCGCGCCCTTGCTTGGTGAGTGAGATAGGAGAGAGAGAGAGAGAGAGAGAGCGTGAGACTCTCTCTCTCTCTCTCTCTGAGAATCTCCGTAAAAGAGTGAAAGACCCTTTCAACTCCGTCATTGCCAAGCCTCTAAAGGGAACCCTAAACCCTAGACCCGACCTCGCCGCGAGCATTGTTCTCAGCCATGCGAGAGGGAAAAAGACCCTAAACCCTTTTTGCGGTTGAGGGATTTCTTGGCCCCTATAACCCTAAACCCTATAACCCTATAACCCTAAACCCTATAATCCTAAATCCTATAACCCTAAACCCTATAACCCTAAACCCTATAACCCTAAACCCTAAATATAGGTTCCGGTGAGTACTGGCGTGAGCTTCGGGGAGTTGCTCGCCTGGCTCTTGGCCACCATCGGCCTCGGCTTCGTCTGCATGCTCATGTACAAGAGGTACCTGTAGCTGGGCCTCTAAAAAAAGGGGGTTTAGGGTTTAGGGTTCAGGGAGAGGTACAAGAGGTACCTGCAACCGGGCCTCTAAAAAGGGGGGTTTAGAGGCATTAGAGGTACCTGTTGCTGGGCCTCTTATTATAAGGGGGTTTAGGGTTTAGAGGTACTTGTTGCTGGGCCTCTTATAAAGGTTGCTAGCAGGGCCTCTAAAGGATAGGATTCTAGGGTTTAGGGCTCATGTACTAGAGGAACCTGAAGCCGCGCATCTTCTGCGGGGTGGGGGGCGGGTCAGGGATTTCTAAAGGTTCTGTTATCAGGCTTCGAAAGGAGAAGAATCCAAGGCTTCGGGCTCAAGTACAAGAGGTGCCTGAAGCTAGGCTTGGGGCTTGGAATTCCTGTAACGCTTTTGGGTTTTAGTCTTTGGGGTTTGGTGCTCTTGGTGAGTCTTGGGAGGTTCAGGCTTGATAGGGCTCATGTATTGACAACCAGGGCGCTATAGCTGTTCAGGTGGTTCTGGTTTGGGAGAAAAGCCCAGGAAGAGGGAGATGCACAGCACTCTCAGGGAAGAGGTCATGCTGGAGGTGCAGGCACAGATGGGCGACTACGCTCAACTCCGTGGTGCGTGAAGGGCTTAGGGTTTGCACAGCTGATCGGCAGAGTCCGGGTTCAAAAACAGTATTACAGAGGGCTCGGGCCTAGGGTCCACATACTAGTACTCTACTGATATGGTACATAGAGATCGGGTTTACGGGGTTATTTCGTGTTGAGGGGTCGGGGGCGTAAGAGAGCGTGGATCAGTCTCACCCCCCAAGCAGATGGGGCCGGAGATACCCGTTCATCTCGAGCACAGGAGGGAAGAGGTGCGGAAACAAAGGGTTTAGGGTTTAGGGGTTTCTTCGGTTTTCTTCAGCACAAGTCCTGATGCAAAAGGGTTTTCTGCAGGCCAAGTGTGGGCCCAGTATCAGCATCTCGCACCACCTGCCCTCAAGCCTAAACCCTAAACGAGCCCGGGAGACGGCTGCTTTTTTGTCGAGGCATCGTTGGTTTTAGACCCGGGAATGTAACAGACTGGTGAGATGCTCCTCGCGTGGCCTTAGGGCTTAGGGAAAAATGGGTCATGGCTACGGCCCTTCTGATAGCTTAGGGTTTAGGGTTTAGAATGATTCTTTAGGGTTTAGGGTTTAGGATGATTCTTTAGGGTTTAGGGTTAAGGGTTTAGGATGATTCGGGCTTTAGGCTCACCTAGCAGCTCCTAGCAGGTAAGACGCCCGAAACCTACCTGGGCTCTTCTTCGGAAGTCTTTTGTGTATTCTTGCTATAGCATGAAATGCAAGGGGGTACGAAGCATTATCATGTCTAAGGTTGGAAGAAACCTAAACCCTAAACCCTAAACTTCCCAAACCCAAAACCCTAAACCCTGAACGTCTATTACGAGTCTCCCGACAAGGCTCCGAAGGGAACTGGCGTGTCCCTCCTGCTGGGGCTTCGGTAGGTTTCGTGTCCTTATTTACGGTTTAGGGTTTAGGGGGTCAGGATCCCGTATTTTGTGCTTTGTCGGGGCTACTGTAGATCAGGGGTCATCCTCCTGTATTTAGGGGCTACTGTAGATCAGGGGTCTTCTAGCTTATAAGAATACGCCAAACCTTCCCTTTGGCCTTGGTGGAAGCAGCCCAAGATCCTAAACAAGTAACAAGGAAGCCTTCGAAACCCTGTACGATAGGTGCCGAATATATATATATATATA